TTTTGGAAAAAATACCAGCAATACATTTTTGAAGGAAAAAATTATTGCCACAGAACATTTTTATTTTATTTTAATTTTTTTTTTTTTTTTTTTTTGCATTTATGACTTAATTTTCCTGCTTTCACTTCCATATAGAAAATGAGTCATTATAACAATATTTTCGTTTTTCTGCTAAAATTTACCTGGTACAAGGCTCAAGAGCTTCTCAGGTAAATTGTTACTGAATGAGGTAGACGATATGAATATAAGCGGATGTAGAAATAATTGAAAATTATGAGGATAAGGAGGATGGACAGCGATTGATTCACGACTCAGATTATGATTAGAGTTATTTACCCTATCTACATTGATTGGACAGTTGTCGTCATCTTTATTATCATATTCTCGACGTTTCAGTCGTTGTATGCTTCGGCCTGCTTCAGGTAATATATTTTAGAATTTCGAACCGATGCCTTTATTTTGTCCACCGGGGTAGATTTATATAGTTCCACGTGCGATGACTTTTCTAGATATCTCAGTTTCAGTTAATTCCCTTTAGTAACTCAACTCTCCAAATTTTTGTTCACCTCTGCTGTGGCCATGTATTGAACTCACAACTCTTTGGGTCAAGTCACTGAATTACTTCAGCCAATGCTTTTATCCACTGGGCCATGTGTACCTAGAACAATCTACCCTGGTAGACAAAATAAAGTTTAAATATTCCAACATAAAGCACCTGAGGAAAGCCGGAGTGTACAACGGCCGAAACGTTGTGATTATGACAATAAAGATGAGGAAAACAGTCCGAACAATGTAAATAATGAAAATAGTTACAATATCTCATCTCAGAAATAGAGATCCTGAAGAAGGCCGGAGCTTACAACGGTCGAAATGTCGTGAATATGGCAACAAAAATGAAAAGAACAGTCCGAACAATGTAAATAGTGCAAATAGTTACAATATCTCATCTCAGAAATTTAGACAGATCTTGAAGAAGGCCGGAGCTTGCAACAGCGGAAATGTCGTGAATATGCCAACGAACATGAAGAGAACAGTCTGAACAATGTAAATAATGCAAATAGTTACAATATCACATCTCAGAAATACAGATCCTGAAGAAGGCCGGGGCTTACAACGGCCGAAATGTCGTGAATATGACAATAAAGATGAAGAGGACAATGTAAATAGTGTAAATAGTGAAAACATTTTATCTCAGAAATATAGTCAGATGTTAAGTTTATAGAGTTCAGTGGAGCACCCACGCGATATTTTCTTCCACTGATTGGCCGTTCTCTTGTGGGGAAAATCTGTCTGGGTCAAATTTCGTATCTATAAATAGAATATGGAGGAAATAAGGATGATACCACGGTGAGTCTTAACTCTAAAAGTCTGAACTAAACCAGAGAGCTCAAAAGAACATTTCCCGTATAAATATCGATAAAGTAACGATAGGCTTAGAATATTAGCTCTGTGGTAAAGAGTGGAAAATATGTCATCTCCTACAAGAAGGCGTAAGTGATTTCGACCTCTACCAAGACTAGAAGGTGAGATTGAGTAGCGCCAGCCTAGACATCAAATCAATTCTTCACTTTTTGTCTTTTTTAAAAAGAAAACATGGCAAAAAGTGTCAAGTACTTTCAGGAGCGATACATGAAGCGTTACAATTTCCCCCTCCCCCATCATCATTAGCGATGAATCTTTTATATATATATATATATATATATATATATATATATATATATATATATATATGTATGTATTACATTATTATTTTTCGTATTTTTACAATGAAATGTGAGTCAGTTCACACGTTAGTACTTCGTATGTCTATTCTATGAAGTCGTTCCTTGCGGACTGACCACAGATTCTCCAATGGATTTAAATCAGGAGAGTTTCCGGACCAGTCCATAGTACTTCGATTTGGTCACAGGTAAGGTCTGCCAGTGTGTTCGTGCAGCATTACAATTTTCATACGCTTCCTTGGACTGACGTCCATCGCAGACAATGGTCGTAGGACAACTAATTGACAGTCGTGACAATAGTGTTTGAGCGTTATGAAAATCTGATGCAATCACGGATGAAGCAATATTTTTCAAGGCCACACAAATTTCATCATACACCTCGAAAATACATTCATATTACTTCGCCCCACAGCAAATAACCTAATCTGAGGAAAAAAATAGAAATCAACTCAACCCTGTCACTGAAACGGCTCCAAAAGTGACCGTATATCAAAAGAAAGGAAACTAAAGCGGTTGTTTTAATTAATTTGCACAAGGGTGTATATGGTGTTTTTCTAAGCGCGGCTTAAATATGGCACAAGGCCGAAAGTATGAGGCAACCAATGAGGATCGATCTCTCTATTCAGTCGTAATTGATCTATCGAGATAAGCTTGCTAATCATTACACCAGATCGAAGTGCCCTCGATGGACCGTATATATGAGTTCACACTCGAGTCTGAAGTAAACTGTCGCAATAGCCATTCAAAGTATGGAACCTCTTTGAGAATGGAACTGTTCATTGTGACGGCGCAGCTCAGGGACCGATCGGCGGGAATGAAATATTATTGCCTTGGCTTTCGAGTTATTGAAATTACAAGCCAGATCCCCCCGCCCAACCATTGAACTGTTCGAATGGCATTTATCCATTTATCCATTCTTTATTACCTTCTTCACATACTCTAAATATTTTCCAATGGAGTCGGAGAAAATTTACTTGAAACCAAATTCTCCAGAATTGGACATCATTTAAGAATAGCAAATTCAAATTCCTTATTTTGCTCTCAAAAGCTCAAATCGCTATATTCCCACAAAGGTACACTCGCACAAATACAGATATTCATATAGATATTATTCTTTAAATGCATACGCACCGTTTTTTGACTTTTGGGCGGGGGGGGGCGTAATATCATAAATATGTTTCGACACTCTAATAATTCTTCTACTTAATTTATTTACTATATCCTTTCTTGAATCAGGCGGTCATGATTCTCTACATCTTCCCTTTTATTTGTTTTGCGAATCTTTACTTTCGTTCTTTGTATCTGCTATGCCATCCATTTATCTAAAATTGTTAAGTAGGGTACTTAGTTTTTTTCTTGTTTAGCTTATCTTAATATATTCTGTGAGAGTTGAATTATCTAGACTCTCTATTCTCATAAAGTGTTCAGGAAATTGCAACTTCCTGGTTTTAAGTAAAAATTTCCTCTGTTTTCTTTAAATTTTATTCTTTGCTCGCATATTCTGCCCATACTATTTTCTGCGTACTTCTGTTCGTTTATATATATATATATATATATATATATATATATATATAGTGTTACACGTTTGGAAAAAACTCGGATAGCTCAACTTGCAGTAGAACAAATTGGTACCCGAGGAAAAATGGGGAATAAAAAAAAGAAAGAACCAAGAACATTCATCCAATGCGAAAACAATCGTCCAGTGTTCTAGGTCCAAATCCAAAGAAAAAAAAACAGAATGAATAAAAGACAACTACGTAAAGTGCTCAATACACTAAGGGTAATGCCGGCATTACCCTGACGATCCCTGACGATCCTTTGAGGTTAAACCTAGGTAGATTTGCCTGGCTCCTTAGGATTACCTTATATATATATATATATATATATATATATATATATATGAGTAAACATTGAAGTCAAAACTCAGAGGCGACACACTATTTCATGCTGGACTCAATCGTCAGGCGGACTGATGATTGCGTCTAGCATGAAACAGCCTGTCGCCTCTGAGTGTTGACTTCAATGTTCACTTTTTTTACATACGCTCCATCTCTGATATTGAGTACTTTATCCCATAATATAGAACACCTTAAAACTGTATTTCCTCTTATATATATATATATATATATATATATATATATATATATATATATATATATATATATATTATGCCTTTAAATTCCTTGAGGAACATAGGGCAGCAAGATATCGTTGCGGTTTCTGTAACAAGTCAGTTTTTAAGTGATTAGGATGTTAACCTACTGCACAACCCCCAACCTGGAGAATCAGAGTTGTCCTTTTCCTAGACAAGTTGCCATCCAAGGCTATAGAACCCAGTCTGTCCTGCTATTTTACCCATAGCTGGAGAGAGAAGAAGAGGATAGCACGTAAGTGAATGCAATGGTTTCGACTGGAATTCGAACTCAACTCTCCGATTCCTCAATCCGAGCCACTATCCATTACTCCACCGTGCCTCCTTCTTCTGTTTAACCAAATACTTATCTCTCTCATTTCTTCATCTGTAGATAACGTTCATTGCTATGTGTGAGATTTGATACTGTATAGCAATTCAGCAACTCTTTCTTTCTTATTAAGGACATTCTTTTAAATTTCTGAAAGGCATTTTCGTTATCTCTATGTACCCTTAGATTTCTGTGGTACACTTTCCGTTGTATGTTATGATATTATCTAAACAGTTAAATTTCTTTAGCAACTTGATTTTGAATTCCCTAAAATTTAGCTCACACACGAGCTGCTTCTTTTTACTTTCCTACATGTAATAGTTAGTCCTTTCTTCTTGCTTTCTTTTACTATACTCTCTAAGAGTTCTCCAAAAAAAGTTCTGACTGTAGTGATAAAATGAAACAAAGTTATTTTAGTTCTGACTACATTTGAAACAATTTTAAATATACTTATCTATACACATTGTCATTACCACTACTCTACGAGTACTCCTGGATTCTATGAAGTCATTGTCTGCACAAAGAAGTGAAATATTCCTGGCTTTATGCAAAACCAATTGATGGTTAAATATTGAATTTTGCGATTTTTTATTTAAAATTTATTTAGATTTAAATTTAAATTTTCAATATAACCTCTTACGTTGTCAATGCACTTAACCCAGTACTTCTCTATTAAACACATAAATCGAACATTATACTTTGAAAATATGATGTCAAATCAGGCGGCTCAAGTGTTTAGACAGTTCCTTGCAATAACAAATTAACTTAGATTATCACTAAATCGTTAACGTCTCTCATCTGCTGATCGCGAATCGAAATGTTTCACGATCTCGCCAAGTTCATCGATTTTTCTTTTCCCGCCAGGGAAAATTGGTTTAAGGTGAGATTTTGGCTCGATCCAAATTTGACTCAGTAGTGAAAAAACAACGGCCGAAGAATTAGTATAAGAGATCAAGTGAATTTTGTTTTTCTTTGACATTTTCATTGCCTGTCGCGTCCACCTCTTTTCAAAATTATTCTTCCAGTTATTTTCTCAGCTTAGCTTAATCCAAGACAAGTAAGGGAAAAATTCGTATTTCCCTTCAGTTTTGATTTGAAACAATGACATCTACTTGTACATGCATCCTAGAATAAAGTTTTTTAAACATATTTTCATATAATAATTTTGATAATATATTTTTTTCAGTGGCCAGATTGTCTTGTATCTCTTACTCTATAGCGCTTACCTTCTGTCTTGCTTTGCGCAGAAACTTCGATGACTTCTAAATAGAAGAGTTGTATACTTCAGGTTCTAAGACGAGGTGTGTTTCCTTCACACATTTATATATCATGTTTTTATTCTAACCGATATATTCTTCGGTATAATCACAGCATGAATACGTTAAAGGATTTTAAGCAATCCATTCATAATTAACAATCAAGAATACAATTAAATGATTTGTTTTGTTTTTTTGTTGTTGTTTTACCGATGATAACGTGAACAAATATCGAATTTTACTGTTTCATAGAATTGTTACCTGACTGAGCTGACCTGTTTTGGAGAAGTAGAAAATTAATATTTTCTCGAAATAAATCACTAACTGCGATTTTTCATGGGTGACGCCATTTTGGTTTCGCATATTCTACAGTACAGACTAAATTATCTACAATATATAAAATAGGAAAAATATATCATACAATATACCTTGTTGTACGTTATTAGATATCTATCACTAAGCGCTATTTAGTTCATAATATAAATGCTTACCTCAGGTATTTCACGGAGTTTTTTGAAAACTTATATATACGTCGACAGCAAATTTGTCCCAGTTTCGTAATGACGTATATGTCTTTTAAAATGTTTATATACTTGGACAGTTTCATAAGTTTCAAGAAGAAAATAAAAATACGAGAGATAGTACTGGGAATTTCTGTAGAGCCTTTCACAAGCCTTTTCAGTAATAAGATAACATACCTTCAAGCAAGCGCCATGTTTTTGTTTTTTTTTTTGTTTTTTTTTTCTTACCAAGTCAAACCCTACAAACGCGCCTTTTTCCCTCTATTTTCTTGATATGCATCCCTAAACACATAACTAATTCGTTGATTTTGTTTTGTGTGCGATGAAGGGAGAAGATCCCTTGGACCGTTCTGTGTGGCTGACTCGTGAATCAATTCATACACACTAAATATATTTATTGTGTCATTTCTTGAGAGATAAAAAGGGGTCGATTAAAGGTTGTCAATCTTGTGCAGAAGAAACGTTATCTGGTTTTGGAGTGAGTTCACGAAAAAACGCCAGAGTCTCCATTAAGACCAGAATCCCACAAAGCGTATTCTGTGTTCGCGTAAGATTGTAGAAATATCAAGGATGGGTTCATAGAGCTGTGATTTAGTTGTCAACAGATGTTAATTATAGCTATCAACATTCGAGCTTAGAGTAAAGGTTTTTATTTAATGTCCAAACAGTAGCACCATGCATGAAAACCGACTCCACAGTGGCGCGAAAGAATCTCCGTTTTAGGTTGTCTGGCGATCAGATTTCCAGATTATATCCATGTTATTCAAGGCAAAGCAGGCTTTAGCCATTCGAATTTTCATATCCTTTTCTGTAGAAGGAATAGCCGACCGTAGGTGAGAAACAAACCGCTGAAAGACAAACATGGATATCACATTTGAATTTTCTACATACCTAGGAAACGAAATAAATTCTACGAAGTTTACGATTTAGACATCCGGAAAAAAATTGTTTTTAAGCTTATTTCTGTTATATCTATATTAATAGTCCGTCCTGGGTATGACGATAAATTGCATCCGCGTCCTGAGTAAGACGATAAACTACTTCCAGCAGCAAGGCCTCTGATCAGGAGGTTTTGAGGAGCGTGGAACCATCTCTTAATTGCTGGTATTCCAAGATCCACCCTGACCCGGAGTGGTAGCACCTGTTAGGGTCCCAGCTAATAGTTAACACCCAGACTATATCCGCGTCCTGGGTATGACGATAAACCACATCCGCGTCCTGGGTATGACGATAAACTACGTCCAACAGCAAGGCCTCTGATGATATCTTTTTGAAAATATAATGTTGCCAGCTGTACGGTTTTGCAAAAAATAATACAAGCTATAGGTTTTTTTTTTTTTTTTTTGAATGAATAGTGTTGCCGGCTATACGTTTTTGAAAAAATAATATTAACCGCTATACGTTTTTGAAGAAATATCATTATCAGCTATAAGTTTTGGAAAAATAGTATAACCAGCTATACCTTTTGGAAAAATAATATTACCAGCTATAAGTTTTTGAAAAAATAATATTACCAGCTGTACATTTTTAAGGAAAAAAATATTAACAGAAATAGATTTTTGACTAAACAAAAGTATGATTAGGAAAAAAATGTTGTCGGCATTAAGTGACCCATTGAGGTTGATGTGCCGTAAAACAAAACAAACCAAATCTATATTAATAGTAGCCATGAAAATATGACGGCTTACCTATTTTAATTTTCTGGCGTATGATAATATATAATGGATAAGTAAGCCCATTGTGATCGCCATGACTACAAAATGGCTGTTAAAATTCCCCTGTTCCTTTGTTAAATATCTGAAGTTAAAAACATTAACCAAATATTGCAATTACAATTATAAGTATGAAGTCTGATCATAATGGTACTTTTTCTCAGATTATTTAATACTCAGTAACTTCCGCAGTAACTCCTTGCGTTCTTGTGGCTTTATTGGGGAGAAATGATTAAAACAAAATTTAAAATTGACAAGATTTTCCATTTCACTGACGCAGACGTTAAACACCTTCTCTTTCTCTCTCTCTCTCTCTCTCTCTCTCTCTCTTTCTTTCTTTCTTTCTTTCTTTCTTTCATGGAAAGCATTTGCCCAATTAATAAATCATTTAGAAAATCATTTAAAAAGCGCTACTACGAGCGTCGGTGACAAATCTAACTATCGATTTTACAGTGTCACTGATATGTCTTTATCGTCTTTACCATTATTTACACTATTTACATATGAACTACTGGCGTCATCTTCATTGTAGTTACCGCAGTAGCAAGAGCAGCAGTTGCAACTCTATTCAGCAGATAGGTTAGGTTTAAGGCTCCATGTTCCTTATAGCAAATTATGTTACGGCCTTCATCAGGTGTCTATCGATCCAGATAACGTACAAGGAACTACGAAGTGAATACTTTATTTAATCAACTGCCCATGTCTAGAGATATTTTGTTTACTTCTTATTTTTATTCATTAGCAATAAAGGTAACTCTTCGCTATGATATCTAGACTTTATGAATTGAAGCGCAGTACTAGATTGGCGAATCGGTCTTACAAATGTGCAATTGTGCTGGCTAGATGTAACCGTAAGTTATATCCTAACACTTTCTTTTCTCGTATTTCTCGTTTGTGGAACTCTCTTCTGGCTCCATGCTTTCCAACTAAACTTGATCTTCAAAAGTTTAGATGCAATATCAATCGTTATCTACTGTCTTCCTGATTACGTTTCTATTGTTTACGCTCCTTAATAATGTTTTGCTTTTTTCTTATTCTTTCACACTCATTAACACCTTGTGTCTTAGTGCATTTACTGCCTTGCATGGGTTAAAATGATTTTTTAAAATGCGTTTTTTTATTTATTTAAAGCATTAATTGATAAATAAAATAGGAAGTTATTTGTGACATAACCTGATAAATTCTCAAAAGTTGATTTTGGTCATTTAAAAAAAGTCTAAGAAAAAGAACTTTTCAAAGCTATTATTTGCAGAATTTTTTCATATATGTACAAAAAACTTGTAATATATATATATATTGGCAGGTTAGACTTCTTAGGATGAAAGAGTCAGCCGATCTTATAGATATACAACAAACTGCATATTTGCTATATCTCTTCATATACTAAATGTACTATTTACTTACTTCTTATATATCCCAATATTAAGTGTGAGCAAATATTCCCAGCGGTCTTTTTTGAAACTTAGAAACTAAATACGACACAGTGGAAAACCTAGCCTTCGTTAGAAGCTTTTACGCACACTTAATATTAAGTTTGTGACTATATCTGTATGATAGTGTATCAATGGTTTGTTTGATAAGTCTTACGCGTGATATCACTGGTTATAAATCCTCCCTCTGATAATACAAGTTACATAAAAAAAAATCAAAGAGGTATAATGTTTGTAAACCCAGTACATATCATTTGGGATCTGTCTCAACAGAGAAGCATAAAAGTTCTTAAACGCGATGAGAAATTATAATCTCTTGGCCTCGTCATGGCGTTTTATCATGAAAAGCAATTTGCTTAGCGGTACACTCACAAGGTGTGGCGTCGTAATCAGTATTTTTGGGATCGTTGTTAAAATTAAAATCATAGGCCGGATGAAACCCGTAGTTTCTTGATGTCATTTCGTTGGACACCTCCACAAATTTCTTACACATTTCTGTTTTAAGCGGTTTAAAAAACAAAACTAAGTAGGAAATTTAGATGAATTAGTTTTCAATTTGGAAAGATCATGTATCCGTTAGGAGACAGGATTAACAGCTTCTGATTCGGGTGTGCCTAAAACTCCAGCCAGGACCTGAATACCCGGACCTGAATACTCGAATCGGAATACCCGCACGTTAATGCCCGGACCTGAATACCCGGCTCTGAATACCCGGACCTGAATTCACGAATCTGAATGCTCGGACCTGAATACACGAACCTGAATACCCAGATCTGAATGTCCGGAACGGAATGCCCGGATCTGAATACCCGACTCTGAATACCCGGATCTGAATACCCGACTCTGAATACCCGGATCTGAATACTCGAACCTGAATGCCCGGACCTGAATACCCGAACTTGAATGACCGGAACTGAATACGCGGATTTGAATACCCGGACCTGAATGCCCGGACCTGAATACCCGGATCTGAATGACCGGACCTGAATACCCGGACCTGAATGCTCGAACTTGAAAACCCGGACCTGAATGCCTAGAACTGAATGTCTCGACACGAATGTTTGCGACTAAATGTTCGGATATGAAGCATTGGTTTTTATTCCTATTATTTCAGATATTTGCATATTCATACCTGATATTTAGTGGTTTTCCCCGACCGACACAAAGTTTCTTCAAAATACGAGCACCTTCCGCAGTATTCACGCAGATCTCATCACTGTTTGGTTCCTATTAAACCCATTATTATGAGCATGATATTAAAATTTAAGTTCAACAGTACTCTCGGACAAGGTTCTAATATTCTTTCTGTTTCAGTCCGTCTTGTAAATTCTATGTCGATAGTTTTGTCTTCCGATTTTCTTGCATTTTTCCATTTTTCATCGTTGTCTTACTTTTACAAACTCTTCTCATAATTATTTCTCCAATGTTATTATTATTATTATTATTATTATTATTATTATTATTATTAAAAATATTTTTGATCTGCATTTGTTGTATAATCTCATGCTAGGTCATAACCTTTGACCTAGGTTAGCAAAGTATGTGATGTTTTGTTGTTTCCACTTAAACAGAAGACATTGGTAATTAAATAAAGAATGATATTCATAGGATATGAGATGTTAAAACTATTTGGGGAATTTCCTCTAGGGATGGTGCACCAGGAATTTTCTTCATTTGTTTTTGAATTCCTTTCTTTATCACACCCAAAACTCCAACCACAATAACAGTTTTAGTTTTTAAGTACCACATTTTTTTTTCTATTTTAATCTCCAGGTCTTATTTTTTCGAAAAACTTTGCAGAGATGTTTTTGTCACTTGGTACGTTCGTGTCAAACAGTGTGCAATCTTTTTTTTTCTTTTCTACCTTTGATAAGAATGTCTAGACGATTTGCTCGTATTGTCCGATCTGTATTGATAAAAAAAATCCCAAAGGATGATAATATCTGCTCCCTCAGATTCAGGATGATGTTCCTATCAGTTGACAGTTGTTTTTTTTTTATATATATACTGTAATGATAACTAATCTTCGAATGCAGATATTGACCAACACTGTCATGACAGATTTTGTCCTCATTGGGTGTAAGTATTGAGGTTACCGACATATGGTGATCAATTGTCTCAATATGTAGGTCTGTGGACGTTACATATTGGGACAGTATTATTATTATTATTATTATTATTATTATTATTATTATTATTATTATTATTTCCTTTGATTTCTGGCGTTTACACATTTCTTTCCGGGTCCAGCCCAGGGACTTAAGGTTAGAAATGGCATCATGACACTTTCCACTGACAAGAAAAAAAAATTACGTAGATAAAGCCCTTCGTAAAGTGTGGGCTGTACTTGTCAGAACAATTTTTTGTATCTCCTTGAGGCATGGACTTCCTGGAATCTCTTCAATTAGTCTACTGCAATCTTTTCCAACCACTCCTAGGGCTCCAACTACAACAGGGATTGTTGATGTTCCCATATGCCACATTTTCGAGATTTCTATTTCAAGCTCCTTGTATTTTGATAACTTTTTGAATATCTTCAAAGATACATTGCCCTCAGGAGGGACTGCCATATCAATAAGAAGGCACTTTTTTTGTTTATTTTTGTCTTTAATAACAATATCTGGGCGGTTGGCTTTG